CTGTCAAATTGGCAGTTCCGGCGAATTTTGTGCTGATGTTAAATCTTTTGGCGCATACATCAAAAAATGGACTCACCTTCGACTTTTAAAAAGGAAAAATTGGCGTCGACTAATCTACTATCAGTCATTGAGATTAGCATTTTCATACTTTTAACATGATAATATTAATAGGGTTATAGAAACACTTTAGTTCAAGTTGATTAGTTGAACTTCAAAAGCACAAACGAATTACTATATAGCTGTCTAGCTCGGCTGTAACAGAAAAGAAAATGTGGGATAGGATATAAAAAACAACCGAAGAAAACAAAAACTAAAAATTTTTCCCCCCTCCCCCGGCCACAAAACTCACTCCTTACAAAGCAGTAATAACTACAAAACTTCATTACACAAAGCACTGGCATCTCTCGAGATATTCCCGATCCTAATGTGATACACACTGGATTAAAACAACTATCTGGATTACAACAACTATCTGGATTAAAACAACTATCTGGATTACAACAACTATCTGGATTAAAACAACTATCTGGATTAAAACAACTATCAGGATTACAACAACTATCTGGATTACAATACAACTATCTGGATTACAACAACTATCTAATTCTAACAACAACCCCATTAGATTTAGCCCGGAACAGAGTGAGAGAATCTCCGCGTGTTATTATATAACACACCCAGCGTGCGTTAAGGGTTATAATATAAGTTATGACCCTTAAGTAAAGCGCGTGAGCTACAGAGAGAGCGAGAGAGAGAGAGAGAGGCCTGGTGCCAACTGCACATAGCGTGAAAGTAATTGTATGGCTTTTTACAGAGTCCAGCTTTCTGCGTCTAGCAGTAGTCTGGTGCGTTCCCAGCGAGGCGTACGGGGTCAATAATCATACTCCTTCCTGATATTACCTGGGGACCCCAGGCTATAATGTTCATAAACATGAATGGAGATTCGGCGGAATGACAGGGTGAGCGCCGCCCAGTAATCCTGATCGTACTTTAACTTTAAGATCACCGTATAGAAAAGTCAGGATCTTTCCGTGATACAATGGGGATTTTGCCGTGCGACTAGGAGACGTTGGTGACTTGTTCTTCAGGCTCGCTCAAGGACGCCGCCAACTGAGTAAATTAACTTTCTGCTCATTATCAAATTTGCGATCTAGCTGTGAGTTGATAAGGCTTTGCTTATGCTGTTTAGGTAATCTAAATAAAACAAAGTTGTAGAGTTGTATCATTTTATTCACCCTTATTTCAGTGAGCCAGATAAAGTTGCTTCGTACAATTTTATTAGTGATTGCGTGGGACTCAACAATAAATGTGTGCCTAATGCACAGTCTTCTCTTAATGCACATTTCAATGATTTTTCTTTTTAAAAAGAACTGATTAAACTTGGTGTGAACTGCAATCGGGTTGAGTTCAAGTAGGGTTTTAATGATTGAATTGAGTTGGCTATGTGGCCAAAATCTTATTATTGTTATATAACCTGATGAGAAGAAGTGTACAGGTTCTCTCTATGTACATTGTACAGGTTCCTACGCTAAGGTCCATGGTCGCTAACCTTTATAAGGCCACTTAAAGGCCACTTAAAGGCCACTTGAAGGCCACTTTAAGGGTCTGTCACTTAACAGCGTTAGGAAGCGTCAACTTTATAGTAAGGCTTCGCCTTTTGACATTCCCATTTAACTTGAACCATAACGTTAATATACTAATCTGATAAAATCTGGAAAGGCCCAGCCTACTTTACTTTTTTACACTAGTGCAGTTGGAGGGACGTGAATAAATGTTCATCACTAGATGCATCCTTATCAATGTTAGCGAATACTAATAAAAATGTGTAATTGGAAATCGGACAACAGTTTTACTAGTGACAATTAATTTGTACAATTTTTGGCTTCAACGGTGTTGACGGTTTTATTGTTTTACATTTTTATGCTTGAAAGCCGCAGAATCTATCACATTGCCAACGAAAACCAAAGTTACAAGTAAATTAATTTATAAATTCAAACAAATCATCCGTATAATGTTGCAATAATCGATAATCATTTAAAAATAAAATTCAAATATTAACCCATTAGGGACGACGAGTTTTAAAGTTTGCCGATTTTGATGCCGTTTAACACACTAGGTCACTTTACAGCAAAAATGAGATATCCAAAAAAGCTAATCTGTATCTCGTTTACTTTAAAAGATACAGCTATGGTCGCATACGACCCACTCGTCCGGGTCGCAAACGACCCATCACGGTTTTTCGGCTTTAACTTCTGAAACAAAGACGTTAGGATAAAATAAAATAAAAAGCATAAGTTAAAAACATATGGTCAATACTGTGTGACTCTAACTTTTTTAAAATAAAGAATTTGGGTCATTAACGACCCACTCGGCTCACTTGCTTATTACTACATATGTCCATGTAACTTCTTGAATTCAGCCTAAAGCATGACATCATAAGTTGAAAAGCGCCTCTCAGCAAGTGATAATCATCATAAACTGCGAAAAATCGGTTAAATGGGTCATTAGCGACCCACTAGGACCACAAAATTGATTAATTAAATATAATGTTGTCAAACTTTTACAAATATTAGTATAAAAACATGTTATATCTTGGTTATTACTCCTGTACGTTGATTTAAATTTTAAAATCGATCAACTGGGTCAATAACGACCCACTCGGAAGTTGAACCACGACATTAATTATCAGTATCATGTTGTTCTACCATCAAGAAAGACACTCGTAGGTCTTAATTCCACGCAAACCACGGGTGGCTGACTACTAGCCCTTCTGAGATCTGGAGTCTCACGGTAATCTGCAGATCACGTCACCCAATGACTGACGAATAATGGGCAGAATTGGATTGATAGGTAGGTGAGTTTATCAGCTGTTAGTACACGACCGTAATGTCGTGAGACAGCAAACAACATGCCTATCTTTTCCCGATTCCTAGAACGTCCAAGAAGAACTATACAACTGCTGGATTCAGATTTCAGATGGCTGCATCTACTCTCTTCGCAGCTCCCTTTCTTTACTTCTTAGGGGCCGTTCATATATTACGTAATCACTTATTGGACAATTTTTACGCCCCCCCCCCACCACATAGCTATTATGTCAAAATTACACAAGCTTAATCATTTGGAAACTCCCCTCCCTCTCGGCCGATTACGTAATACTTGTTTTCGTTTTGAAAGCTGCCTCGTTGTTGCGGGGTTTGTTACCCAAAACGAGGTAGTTGTCTGAGAGATTGCAGGTTGCAGCACCGCCAGCCAAATGGGGGGGGGGGGGGGGGGGGGGGGGGGGCTTTTTCCTTGTCCTTCTTCACAGAGCTGTAGATGTAGCCATCTGAATGCAGCAGTTGTTTAGTTATTCTCGTACTTTCTAGGAATGAAAAAAACATATTGGCATGTTGGATTAGAATATGCAATTTGACCACTCGTCTTTCAGTATTTACCCAAGGTTACATGATATCTCGTATACTTCGTTCAGGGGATTTCTTGGTTACATATCTGGATAACAACTTCTGGATACAAACTATCAATCTACGACACGTGGTTTAACAAGTCGTTAAACAATTCTGGATTCAACAACTAATGGATACAGAACAATATGATTAACAAAACTACTGGATAAACACTACAGATTACGACAACGATCGGATTCCTTTCATTTTGCGGATACAACGGTCTTCGGTAAGATTTCCACAACATATCTATTACAACAATATCGGAACAAAAACTACTATCTAAGCAAAACCATTAATTTAGCCGAATAGAGCAGGATTCGGTGTTATATTAACTCACCAGCGTGCGTTAATGGTGAAATTAACTTGTGACCCTTAATTTAAGCGCGTGGAGCTACAAGAGACGAGAGGGAGTAAGCTGCCACGCCACATCGTGAAGTATTGGTGGCTTTTTACAGATCCGAGGCTTTCTGCGGTGGACAGCAGTATCTGGAGCTCCATAATGTCGAGGGGTCAAATTCATATCCTTCGATATACTGGGACCCCAGTGATCAATTTTCAAAACATAATGAAGTTACGGGATGAAGCTGAGCCGCCATAAACTGATCGTACTTTAACTTTAAGATCACAGTATAGAAAAGTCAGGATCTTTCCGTGATACAATGGGGATTTTGCCGTGCGACTAGGAGACGTTGTGACTTGTCTTCAGGCTCGCTCAAGCACGCCGCCAACTGAGTTAACTAACTTTCTGCTCATTATCAAATTTGTGATCTAGCTGTGAGTTGATAAGGCTTTGCTTATGCTGTTTATGTAATCTAAATAAAACAAAGTTGTAGAGTTGAGCCAGATAAAGTTGCTTCGTACAATTTTATTAGTGATTGCGTGGGACTCAACAATAAATGTGTGCCTAATGCACAGTCTTCTCTTAATGCACATTTCAATGATTTTTCTTTAAAAAAAGAACTGATTAAACTTGGTGTGAACTGCAATCGGGTTGAGTTCAAGTAGGGTTTTAATGATCGAATTGAGTTGGCTATGTGGCCAAAATCTTAGTATTGTTATATAACCTGATGAGAAGAAGTGTACAGGTTCTCTCTCTGTACAGGTTCCTACGCTAAGGTCCATGGTCGCTAACCTTTATAAGGCCACTTAAAGGCCACCTAAAGGCCACTTGAAGGCCACTTTAAGGGTCTGTCACTTAACAGCGTCAGGAAGCGTCAACTTTATAGTAAGGCTTCGCCTTTTGACATTCCCATTTAACTTGAACCATAACGTTAATATACTAATCTGATAAAATCTGAAAAGCCCCAGCCTTCTTTACTTTTTTACACTAGTGCAGTTGGAGGGACGTGAATAAATTTGCATCACTAGAGGCATCCATATCAATGCTAGCGAATACTAATAGAAATGTGTAATTGGAAATCGGACAACAGTTTTACTAGTGACAATTAATTTGTATAATTTTTGGCTTCAACGGTGTTGACGGTTTTATTGTTTTACATTTTTATGCTTGAAAGCCGCAAAATCTATCACAATTGCCAACGAAAACCAAAGTTACAAGTAAATTAATTTCTAAATTCAAACAAATCATCCGTATAATGTTGCAATAATCGATAATTATTTAAAAATAAAATTCAAATATTAAACACAATAGAAACATCTTAAAAATCGAAAAAATGAACGCAACAAAACAAAAACTCAACTCATCAGATATAACAATCTGATGTACAATATACGACTCTCGAAACACTCGAAAATATTTAGACTCATGACGAAGATCAAAAATTAGAGCACAAATTTAAAAGACAAATATACATAAAACTATGAGAGGAATGATAACGTTCAGTTACAGTTTTTATCCAGATCCACGTCATACACACAGACGAAGGAAATGTAAGTTAATTGAGCGTATTAGAGTTCCAGCCAAAGGTTAAAACATAAGTCAACGTTATAGACAGAGGGGGTAACATTTCATTTGGCGTGAACAGAAGTCGTACAGTAACAAATTCCTTCCTCATTTCATTTGTCATTGGTAGAAGTTGTAACGTAGCAGATTCCTTGAGTTACACTGGACAATGCTGGGAAGGACTGAGCTTTCGTCTAGTTTCAAATTAAGGGTTCTACAGAAATACAGATGTCTTGTTAAGTGGAGGTTCTGGCTGGCTTTTAGTTGGCTTTCGACTGGCTTTCTGCTGACTGGCTAGTGATTTTCAGTGAGCACTAAATATTTGAATGAATTTGCAGATACGATCATGGGAAAAAGATGTCTTCACAAACTTCAGGTAGACAGAATTAGCCGAATCAGGTAGGAAGAAGTCTATATTTCAGTCTCTGCAGCTGCTCACTGTGAAATATATAATTGTTATATATCTGCTAACTCTGATTCTGAGACTGACTATTATCAGTACCCTGGTCCCACTGTTCAGTACTTGACTGACACTGTCTCATACTGACTCTTTCTCTTTCACTTTCACTTTCTCTTTCATCTCTCCTCCACGAGCATGGACAGAACCTGTGAGTCTTGATCAGGGTCATGAAGTCAAACCTCCCGGAATTGTAGATCGCTACCAGCAGTATCATCGTTAAACCCACTATCACCTGCACGAGATATACCCACTTTTAAAACTGACATTTATAAGTTTTCACATGAGTCGTTGAAATTATAAGGGCTAAGATTATGTTCACTTAATAAGGTAAAGTATTCCAAGAATTAATCTGAATTCTAAGTATTAAATATAAAAACTGTTAGTGTTACAAATGTGTTAATATTTTCATCGCCCTGTCTAAATTGCAATTACAGATTTAGTTTGATATTAGTCTTAATAAAAGGCGTTACATATTTTTCGTTTCTCTCTCTCTCTTGAGTGGGTCAATCATGATTTATTACACTTGGGTCAAAATGAGTGAGTAAAGACTTTCGTTTTGATCGACCCACTCCAGGGAGCGAAAAATGAACTTTACTTTTTTACAAAAAAGTGGATGGAATAAATACCTGAAGGACACCAAGATACCCAAGATAAGGATTTGATACAGCTCCAAATACGTATGTTACCATCAGGAACACTACTCCACAGCAGCACAGTGTGATCCCTGGTTATGAAATGTCAAACACAAGGAAATATTTTATGTTGTTTAATGATTGATATATTCTTACAAAATACAAGGACTGTTAACAGTAGAGAATATATTGGTTTTTCTATTGTTTAAAATCTGAATGTGTGTCTATGTGCAATGATATTTTGGGCGGTTGTAATAGTAAAAGGCTAGAGGTTGAATTGACAGAATTATGAAAGTGTTTAACCCTCCAGACAAACACGGCATCACAAAAATATTTGGTTGAATTGTTTAAAGTTGAATGTGATTATGAATATTGAAAATTCAGAACTGATCAGATTTCACCCTGATTCCCATCTCCCCCACGGCCCACCCTCTTTCTTGACAATCAAGCTTTCATGCTGGAGCCATAATAAAAACATGTTGATATGTCACAAATAAACATATTTTCTGAGAGTGTGTGAAAAATTAAATTTTTCGCAGACAGTGTTAAATATTTGGTATGTGAGGTAACTGGCACCCCAGATTGTCGATACTCATTTCGTGCCTGGTGGGCTAAATAACCATAATTTTTCACAGTTTTGGTTGGCGACATCAACTTGGCAAATTTAATTGCACTTTTATGATATTTGAAGACTTAACAAATCATTGATTTTTGCAAACAGACAACAATGGAGACTAATAGTGGAAACGTAATGATTACATTTTCACACGTTAAACAATTTCCAAACACCTATCTATCATGAACCTTTACTTAAAAGGTGAAGACGCACAACATATCACGAACACTTATTTACGCTGGACCAGTAGCCAATGTGAAACATAAGGAAATATTCTCATACCTATGGCGAGTGTTCTGACGCTGCCCATGCAAGCAAAGGCGTTGTTTCTGTGAAAGAAGCTGTCTCTTGTCAGATAACGAGTGTTAACAACCTAAGTCGGGAAAGGGATTGTCATGGAGATAGTCAGCATGCTCACAAGAATTGTAATTGATCGAATATCCTTGAGAAATGTCTGCCGTCTGTGGACTGATCGGTATTAAATTATCCATGAGACATAATCATTTCGACGAATCATAAAGATAAACTTTATGCACAGAAGGAGAATAACAGAATAAACGAGAGTAATAGTAAGGTACTGTTAAAACCAGGGTCCTCCCGGCATAGCTAAAGTTGCTCGAAAGAAAGGTTGGTCGGAAGATCTGCAGCTAAAGATTGAAAATCTAACAACGCCATATCAAGTAATATTAATATTTAGAAACATAAAGATAAAAATCTAACCTCGCTGTAACGCGGTGCCTGGATCAGAGAAGTGAAGTCTCCCTCGGTGTAGGGGGGTGGTAACGCGTCCTCAGGGTTTACTACTTGCTGAGAGTATGTAAATGAAGGTGAGAATATCTTAACAGGTGATACTCGTAAAATATTTGTTTCGAATATAATACAAGACCGTCGACGAGTTTAACTCGGCGCGTGTTTTGGTAGGTTATAAACTTACAAAGGATATGCTTTTCAGGCAGACGATTAGTTAAATGGTAAAATTTACCAAACTTTGTAGATATGTTGGAGAGAGGTTTAAGCAAAAGCATTATCAATTAAGTAATAGTTGGATAATTTGCACTGTTCAGTCAACTAGAATAGTCCAGCCACAGATATCTCTAAAAGATTTGACAGAGAAAATCTGAGAATTTGGAAACTACAAGAGGTTTTGTTCAAGACATTGAATAAATAACTTCGAACAGTTTTCCCAACTTACCGTATCTACAACAAGTCGAGGAAGAGGGGTAGAATGTAAACTATCCCCAAAACCATGACAGATATAACCGTGACTCCACAGTGATGGAGGTCCCCTCCTGTTATGATAGCTACACGGAGGTGTTGTGCTGTGTGTGGGTAAACTACCAGGGTTACTAAGGTGATGAGGGTCACCCAAACCAGGGTTGCTAAGGTGATGAGGGTCACCCAGACCGGTGTTACTCCGGTGACTTAGACCCTCTGGGTTGCTGCGATAGCAGAAACTCTCAGGGTTATTTTCAAGCAAGTGTAATCCAAAGTATGGGTCTTCATTTCGACGGCGGGTGAACGGAGAAAATGCCTCAGCGGAACTGCTATTGTTACCAAGCAACACCCCACTGTGACTACCATTGTGACTGTTATTCTGACTGTTGTTCTGACTGCCAGTGTAATTGTGGTGAAGAGGAGCTGGAGCTGGTTCAGACAAGATGGTCGTGTTCGAGAAGCGTAGAGGCTGTGTCATTACTAGGTTTGATGTGGATGGTCCAAGATGTTGTGGTTCCGATCCTGATGGGTTATAATAGTTGGTTACACTTTCTCAAACACAAGAAAAATTCATTAAAATGATAACAAGATGACTGATAAAGAAGATCCTAGTTGAGAGACATTATTTGGGATTGCATTATTATCTAAAACAAACATTTTTGATGAATTTGCGGCACTAAAACTCACTATGACCGATGATATGAGTGGGTTGTAAAGTGTATGGCTCGTTGACCATACCCCCGGGTTCATAGTTCTGTCTGTATCTTGAGTGAGGCGCTGAGCGAGGTCTTGAGTTAACCTGAACAAAACAAACTTGTCAAACACAAGAAAATGTTTTGTTTCTTGTTATTTGATCAATGTTGGTGTTATCTAACAATTACGATCAGAACTCATCAGTCTTCATCAATTTCAACAAAACATTTTGAAATATCTTGAAATATCTTGAAATATTTTCAACAAATTGAACAACACTAACTAACCTGAGCGAAGTTGAAGTAAGAGCGAAGAGTAAGAACGGTAGGCTGGCTATCAGATCTGTAAGCAGGGGGAGGAGAGGTCGGTCGAGCAAGAGCCAGAGCACGTGATACATAGCTCATTCGGGATGTCCTTTCTAGTTGAGCTGTGCTTCTGGGGACATGGACAGTTAGATTCAGGTTTTGTAAGTAATAGGAAAGTGCAGAATTTTTAACAGTTTCGTGCAATTTGGCTTTTAATGTTCATGTTGTAGATTTTGTCAGTTATTTTTGCAAATGTTATTAATTATGTGGATTGAAGCTCAACCTTCAAACCAAAAATCATCACTGAGATCTGTTCAAAAAAAGGATTTAATTGAAAACCTGTATACTGAGTTTGTTGACGAGCTGGAAGGAATCAGTGTCTCGACTGATTCACGACAAGGCGCCGAGTGGTGTGGGACTCTTTCACTCGGTGACAGTGGAGCAAGGGGCTCTTCTAAATCTTGTGAATTTCTGGACGCAACTGGTGCATAGTGGCATATCTGACCTCTGTTCCCCTGATTATATGTAAAACAGGAAGGATCAGGATGATAAAACTGGCGACCTAAGTAGGTTGATGAGCGTGACCCGTTGAGAGGGTTTAAAGCGATCTCGTGTCTCTCTTCGCCACAAGATGATGTAGTTGACCTATCATCATCATCAGTCTCCTCGCCACTTCTCTCACCTAATGTTTGTAAGTGAGAACAACGACGTTTACGTGAAGTGACGTGATCAGTGACGTCATGATCGGTGACGTCATCATTACGATCAGGTGAAGGTGTCCTTGCTTCAGAATCTGAAGAGCAACCTCCCTCATAGTCACTTATCTCAAAGTTGCTTGAACCCGACGATGACATTGTCAGTGAATTTGCTAATTTTTGGTAGTCTGATAGAAGATGCTGGATGCTGGTAGGGTTAACTAATGAGAGGGGTCTTGATGATTTGGAAGAGGGTATATCAGACACATCACTGTCACTGAGGGAAACAAAGGAATGTTCATCATGGTGGTCTTGTTCTGATGGTTTATCTTCAGCGGAGATAAAATAAGACATGTTCTGGTTATCTGGAATTGTCCAGAACTTTCGTGAATTGAATGATGAATTTGGGGTGAACGGTGAAGATGAGCTGAACCAGGTGAAAATCACGTGAAAACTCAATTTCTTGAGTGTTGGTGTTCACACAGGTTAGTTTCGTACGGAAACAGCGCCACTACTAGCCTTTGGGTTGACAGCTTTTCCTTCACATCTTTGGCATGGTGGTTTTTACATCGTCATTATCTTTTTTCATCTTCTGAGAGCAGTTATATGATGTGAGATTAATCAAGTTAAGGTTGAAAAACGATGAAATAAAGCAAAAGTAGAGTAGAAATAGTTCTCCAGGAACAGAATTGATGACGTTATATGTAAAAAGTCCCATGTTTTATGCAAACAATCGTTAGGGATAAAATAAAGTGGTTGGCTGACAAAAAGTGATGGTCTTGACTCAGGAACATATTGTTCAGCTAAATATATGTTAGCCGGTATGATTTTATAAGACTATCTGAAAAAAAGAAAGGAATCTAGGTGAATGAAGAATGTACTTCTCTCAAAAAATCTTTCTGAACAATTTGCACTGTATCCGAAGTGCGACAATCAAATTAAGAGGTCCTTTTTTTCGCATTACTGCATAGTGCATAGTGCTAATAAGAGAAAACATTAGAAAAACAGCGGAAAAGTTAATAAATTAATTTTCCTAACTTCAGAACTTCTACTGACATACCATAACAGTGTAAAATGATCAAATTTTGGAAAATAGCAGAGAATACAACAAAAGACTTGAAACAATAAACTAATAGTAACACTAACACAGACATAATAGATACGACAATAAAATTGACACTTTAAATATAAGCGCACACAAAAATACAAAAATACTGCAACATACAAGCTATAATAGTGTTACTACATATTTTATAATAAACTGCAGACAGCCGTCCATATGTAGATTGTAGACACAAACTCAGTACACACGCACGCGCTGCCTAGGCGGAAACGCTCACGACACATTAGTGGACAATTTCCTCCGCAAAGTTATCTCGAGAAGAAATAACGTCCTCCTTCGCAAAGTTATTGTAAGGAAAAGTACGGTGATGATCCGATATAGACACAGCCGTGATATGCTGCCTCAAGATCTATTTATAGATTTTGGCAATATAATGATGATCTGCTTGTATGTTTTATGTATAATGAGGTATTTATAGATGGTATTATAATTGACTGTGATACAATTTATATTGGCGGTGTTTGTTGTTGTGGGTGGGTGTTGTGTACTGCAAGTAATAATGTACCGGAAATTAAATGGCGGTCATGATCTTGTTGTTAATTTGGATTGTTCACAGATATAATGGCTACTTTAATATAGCAACAGTTACTCGAGGTAATTGAGGGGGAGTTTTTTAATCTTGTCAGAAAAGGCAAGTCTAATTTTACTCTTAAATCATGACTTGACTGTCTAGAAGATGTTGTAACGGAATGAACATTGAAATAATAACCGCCTTTCATTCATTGACGCTCTAAAATTGCATGATCCACTTTTGATATTCCTTCGAATATGGATCAGGATGACCAAAAATTAAACGCATCTTTAAGGAAAAAATGTAAAAACGTAAAAACGTTACAATAATTCTTTTCTTCACACTTTCTCAGTCTCAAATAAATAAACGGGAAAGTATCACTATGAAGCAAAAGCAAAATGACGAACGTAACCACTTTTAACGGTAGAAGTTCAGAATAATTAAAGTTGAAGGCGGGGATCAGAATAATGGTCATCCTAGCTTGTCAACTGTAATCTGAAGTGACCTGGAACCAAAAATTGTGTGGCCCATTTGCTGATTTGTAACGAACCATCTCACGATTTACCAACTGGTTTGTGAGGAAGATTATGTGTTCTCCACGTGGGCTGCACGTGATCTCCACGTGGGCTGCACGTGATCTCCACGTGGGCTGCACGTGATCTCCACGTGGGCTGCACGTGATCCAGCAGAGTGGATTAGAATTAACGTCTAGCACAGCCAGACAGCTTGAGACTGAGTGAGTTGGAAATTAAAGATTTGGTAAGATTTGGTATCAGCAAGATGTTACTATGAGTAACAATGTTTTTTTTTGAAGAATTTAAAAGTTAGAAATGGAAATATTAATAAGTAATGCCAATTAAAATAACAGCTACAAATGCAACAAGTAATCCTCTACCACTAGCAGCACTCTGATAGTACAGGGGGATATTACAAGTTGTCTACTTACTAGTCCCTCTCTCTCTGTTCTGGTCTACTTACTAGTACAACTACCGGTAAAATGCTAGGCTTCTAAAGTCACACAAGGCACCGGCAATGACACTGAACAGATAGATATAATCTATAATCATGGCATATGGGCAGACCTTTGAACAAATATAATATATCACTTCAGATCTACCTCAAGTGGACCAGACTCACAAATAACAATTTACTAAAACTTGATTTATATCTCTGATGTGGATCTGACAAGTGGAAAACTGGCAAGACAAAATCTGGCCCTGTATTCTTTTAATCATTGATTGCTTGACTGCTTGACTGTTTGACTGTGCCAATCCGTGTATTAATAGGAGTGACAAATTTGTAAAGTTATAGAGTTAGGTATAGGAACGAACATATCTAGACGATTGGAGAATGGGACAATTGTCTCTCAGCAGTCTCAATTTTAAAAGGTATAAACTTCACATAATTCTTGCCTTCTTATTATCAAATTATCAAGTAATACATTATTGCGGACATCAAAAGTAACAAACTCATTTACTATGACCAATTAAAAAGTCAACTAAATCAAAATACAAAATATTAATATGGGGAAACATGAAAGGGAAGCCGGCGGCCGATTAATTTAAAAGCAAGCTTTTCTTGTCTTCTAACTTTCTAAGAACCATATAGAACCTTTGCTAAGAACAAACAATGAAACACCACTGTGTACTGCAGGTCTTGCACTACACCACTCTAAACCTAAACGCACTATAGTTAATGTACTGTACTCTCTTTAGTATATCCCACTCTCTCTCTCTCTCTCTCTCTCTCTCTCTCTCTCTCTCTCTCTCTCTCTCTCTCTCTCTCTCTCTCTCTCTCTCTCTCTCTCTCTCTCTCCTAATATCTCCTTGCACTAGGAAGTTACTTAGTTAGGGAGGCATTGTCCAGCTGGTTAGTCTTTGGGAGTATGTTACCGTCTTTAATGACGTCCCTTCACGTGTCATGACGTCACACCACGTGTCATGACGTCACACCACGTGTTATTAAGTTAGGGAGACATTATCCAACTGGCAAGTCATTGTCTTTGGGAGTATGTTACCGTGTGAAAGTTAAATGTTGTATGCCTTAGATTGGTGAAGTCTGGGATTGTCGTCGTGACGCGTCATGGAATTAAAAATTAAATGACCTATTGAAGTTTAAAGCAAATGATAAGTTAATGTCAGGGTATAAAGTTTGGTACTGGTTAGAAAAAAATCGCAGAATAGTTAAAAAAATGTTTGGATTCAATAACTAACAAATTCAAATCTCGGAGGAATTCGAGTTTGCCGCTTCGACGCGCCGCGCAAACTAGCATTCTTGCTTCGCATCGTCGATCGTCGATCGTTGCTCTGCTTCGCATCGTCGATCGTCGATCGTTGCTCTGCTTCGCAGAGCAACGATCTCGATGGGTTGACACCGTCAATCAAGTTGAAATCATTTATCATTTATGGTGAAAATTGAGAAAAGTAAATATTGTTCGGGTCACGAGGAAAAAAATTAACAAAAATACAAACGACTGCAGACTCATTGCTGAACAAAAAAATGCTGTTTTCATTCTGTGGAGCATTTTAAAATAGCTACAATTTACAAATAATACTAATTGGCCACAACACTAGGCTGCAACTGCAACTGCATCTCATTTAATTGCAGACGGCCAATTTTGAAAGCTTTGCTTTTCCTGGATTGGGATGAAAATATAACATTTCAACATTAAATTCACAACGATGTAATTAAGAACCGAACGACAATTTCAAAAATAATACTTTTGCCGTTAATAAACATTTGGAGAATAACAACTAATTGTGGAGTTATTAGTTAATTCTAACTTTGTTTATTGTTATTATTGCAATCGCATTATTTTGATTTAAAGTTTTACAATATAATGCAACAACGAATTACAGCATCATATAAAAGGATTTTACACCCAAAAATGATTAATTTAAGCTAAACCTTGCGTTTAATACCTTAATAGCGTTATGGTTATCTGTATTTATTATAAATAGATTGTCCCAATATTTACTGCTCGCTTCGGGCTATATGTATAATTCTATTAAGCTTATAAAACTAGTCAATGCTGAAGTTACCGATACTCAAATATTTTGTAAACTGAAAAAGATATTTATTTTTGGCCTTCCATGAAAAAACAATGGGCTTATCAAGCCACATTTCAAAGCTTCAAAGGGTGCTTGTGCACTTGTTACTGCTTGCTACTACTGCATGCAGTTGTAGCAAAGTGTTCGACCTGCTGGCTGCATAGTAAATCAAAATTACTTACGTAATTTACGATTAACTGTGCTTCAAAACCATCACAAATTTACTAATTTGTAATTGTAATTGTGATGAATTATTTTTATAATTATAAATACCACTTTGAAGTTCACAGAAAGTAGTTAGTTTCCAATTACTGTACCTAGTAGAAACTAAAATATTTATTGTTCTAAATTGACTTATTTTCCATCGCTGTTTGCGACGGTCACTTACAACGAACAATTAAATCTTGCCTTCTATTTCAAATTGATTTAAGCCGGAGTCTACAATATAAACCATGTCACGTCGATGCATCAACATAAAAGTGCAAATATGGAATACAAACAATTTTGTCCGTAAGTTAAACAGTTAAACGCATCTGCATGAATTTTAACTTTTAATCCGGTATAATCTGATTTTATTTCGAGGACAAAAGAGTTGCTTACGTCGTAAGCCCAAGGTATGATATTTACAGCTTCAAGGGCTTGGCCAGCTGGAAATATATCAAGAATCATGTTAAATAACAGCATATACATTCTCAAAAAGCCGACCTCGCAACTTACATGTTACACAGACAGTAAAACTTACCTTCTCTCACACAGACAACATCTAGAAATGAAATAATTACCGCTGCATTTATCAACCGGAATATAAAACGCTGCACGTGTCACTACATCTCCTTATATGGGTATCACGTGACTATTGCAGCTGTAGAGCACCATTCTCCAGTGCCACAGTGGTATTATTATACTGAGTCTGTAACTGTAACTGTAAGTTCCGGAGAACAAATTGCATAATTCCAGCTTCTGATTGGAGTTTCACCGCACCTGATTGGGTCTGATTGAGTGGTTGGTTGAATTTTCCGGTTGTTGCTGTTTTTTAGTTGCAGGGATTCTCTATAAGTGTGGGAACGAAAGTTAGTTTTGTTAAAACCACCATTACATCTCCAGTGTGATAGGGAAACGCCAAACTTTTTCATTACAACGAGTTACTCATGGCTTTTAAATGCACATATGACAAAGACTGGAGTAATATACAACTCTAAAATGTAATTACGGCAGAATCATGCGAGATGTCAGTCACAGTGGTTAAAACGGGGGGAGCCTCAGTTTTCATTCGATTTGGCATGCGGAGTTTTGTTTGTGTGCCTTGTACAAGTAGTAGTACAGTATTGAACTAGAGCTAAAGCTAAACTTGAGCTAGATGAATAGTTAAATTAGTACTATTTTAATTATAATAGTGTTGTTTAAAAAATGTTGACCCCTGAAATGAGGAAAGAATAGTGGAACATTAAATCAAAATACACGTGATAAAAGTGATCGGAGAAGTGATTGCCATTTTCCGTGATTTCAGGGGTAAACTTTAACTGACAGAACCATGTTGCATAGTATTTAGTTGCAGTTTAATCATGTTTTGATTGTGCATCGAACACAGTTACAATGTCGTAACTTAGATCGAATAACCATGATTAATAGATCTCCTTCTTAAAGTGTGGGAAACCCTAGTTGCTAGGTAACGGAAACCTTGTTTGTGTTGACACGTGACAGCAATTCTAGGTTTTGATTGGTCAATGTTGGAAGTATCCAGAGCTATGATGAACCGGACTAAAAGAAAGTCATTACGGTCAGCCTTGGCAGCACTTAGTCATATCACAATTGAAGGTGTGATAAAAAGTTTACTAATCTAATGCGTTCTGTAAAAGAATTCGCCAGTTTAATTCAGCTAAGTAGTGATAATGGTACGAGGTTTTTAAATTTACAACAATTCCAACTAATCATTAGAGTTGATACTTTTCAAGTTTGTTTAAAGTGATTCACTATACACGTTTTTCTTGGCATCGATACTTAGCTATGTTTAAAAAATAAGTACCTGACTTAAACTGTGTTGACAGCAACAAACTTATGATGTTATTGTCGGGAAGAAATAAAATACCGAAATTATTTTAATTGTCATCTCGATGATCCAAGTAGTAATATCAAGGACAAGTTAAACCAAAACTTAAGACTGTTAATCTTAGTTAATCGTAAATAGACCATGTACTCTCTTGTGGTTTTATACTTCCCAGGGCACTGAATAAAGAATAAGTGACCGTACTTCAAGTACTCCAATAATCCCTCAAAAAATTTTACAAATAACGAATAAATATTACAAATATCATCATTACGCAACGCCTAACAAATTTATTAGATTAGTTATAATTTTAAAAATCAAAAAAGTATACTTGTTAATCGACGAAACCGTAACTTTGTTAACTCAATTGTTCATTCTGATCAAAAATGTTTTTCAAGCTCTTAGCTTAGAAAATATTTTTAAATTTCTTAAAAAACTAAGAAAAAGAAAATATGGCTTATTACAAAACTACCTAGAATGACTATGACCTGCATTATAAAAAGACTAGAAAATTAGAAATGAGGCAGGATGAGTTCTTTATATCTGAGGTCGTTAAATATGCCTTAGCGGTTAAAATTTCTGTGGACGAGTCCAGCTCAAATATTGCCTAGAGAAGTTCGTTGGGTTACGATGTCATTATGATGTAATCATGACGTTTATACTGATATAAAGTGATGCTGGGTCGCAAGATTAGCTCTGTATTCCGGCGCATAATGTGGGGAGGCCTCCGATGTAATTCAGAGCAGGAATGCACATTCCGATACCTGAAAAAAGGATAGGGTTATAAAGGAGTAAAAGGGGGTTAAACAATATTTCAAATTACTCGTGGATTTTAGATGGTGTCTTGTTCACGATTTATCCATAACATCATCCTTTGCGACATCGAAACCCACAAAATAACGTAACGTCACTAGAAAACGTGCGATTGATGACGTCACAAGAGATAACAAAACACGTGACTGATCAACTTACCGAGGCCGAGGAGCACGAATCCGGTAATGACGTTCTGATGGTAGTTGAGTATGAGGAGGAGAGCTCCTGATATGATCATGATCAGGTCGATTAGGAAGAACAGTATCGCTAACCAGATTGTGCAGGATGTGCCGGATTTAGGCTCCTGAAGGGCAATTAGTTAATACAATCAGTTAATTAGCTGGATAATTATATACTGGGTTAACTAAAAGAAAGATGAAGTCTCAGAGATTTCATAGATTTAACACAGATTTCACAGATTCAATAACGAAAATCATCAAAAGATAATGTAATAACTAATAACCTCCGTTCTGAATAGTCGATGGTTCTCCCAGTCCTCTGGATGTGACATTAGATTAGATCTACTGTTGTCTGAAATGAAGAAACTGTTATAGTAATACAGGTAACAGTGTAATCTAGGTAACAGTGTAACTGTCACCAAGATGCAGTTAGGTCTAACGCAGAGTTAGGCCTAACTTTGGCGTTAGGCCTAACTGCATCTTGGTGACAGTAACAGTTATAGCTAGGATTTCATGTCGCACGTGCCCTATGTACGTTTCGCAGCGAGGTTCCCATTCAATAATCTAAATAGACTCTGCAATCTCTTACGAAGCGTGATAGGCAAACATTTCAACATTTTTATACAAATAGTAGATTAATTCCAAAGCCATCACTAATCAGTTATCAGATGTCATCAATTAGGCACTTTTCCAAATGTTTCAACAATTTCAATGAAATCAAGGAAGCAATAACACAACCGAAGGCAGAGAAAATCTAGAGAACTACTACATAGAGAACAGCCATAGATTGTCCTCTCAAAACGAAATGCGATATCTTAAGAAACCCTAAATCGTCAATAAATGTATCAAATTTTTAGTGTTGATATAACTGCGGCACAAAACAAAGGTCTATTTGAACTTTAAAACGCACTTCTATAATCTGTATAGATATATAATAAGTACCTTTCTCCATGGAGATGACGTGATCGTACGAGTCGAGAGGTTTCATGTTTATCTCTGATAATCTGAGAGGGGTTGTGTCTGACATAACACCATCCTCACCGTACCCTGAATCTTCTGTCTCCCTGGGGAAGAAATGTGTTAAACATGGATTATTTTGTACAATGTACATTGTACACGAAGAAGATATTATTAACCCTGCAAATGTCAGAGAATATAATTAATTATTAAATCAATACTTCCCGGATATATTCAGGGAAATACAATTTTGAATCGGACTTACGATGTTTTGCATTCTTTTTTCATGTGTCCCGGAAAGCTTGCGTCGTTATAAATCTTCGCTTCTACTCCTTTTTTCTGCAAAGATAATTTTGTAAGCAACCTGACTACAAAACTGGAGCTTATGAGCTTAGCCACATGGCATGGTGGCTGATGATTTATCAAAACATTCAAACAAAAGTTGAAAAAGGCCGAGCAACTGCATGACTAGTACAACAAATAATCACTAAATTAAAATAACAACCTCGATATTAGCACCCCCCTCTTGTCCTCTTCCAAGGTAAAATGAAACAGTCTTCCCCTCCTCCACTTCAGTATCCCTCGCCTCATTCCTCCCGCTCTGCAGAATACCCGGCGCTGATATTTGCCGGCGGTCAGCTGACTCAATATCCACTTTTTCCAGAATACCGGGAGCTGTTACTGTTCTGCCCAACTGGGGTCCTCCCCTGTACCAACTGTCACTCCGCTGCATTGGGGCTGACGGCTGGAGGACGGGTAATTAACGAACTGTATAAGTAACAAAAGTCACTTAGTAACTTAGTAACTACTTAACTAATTATACTTTTTATCTAAACTCGGAAAAAAGTACAAGTAAAACTAACGGTAGTTTCGTAACAATTGCAATTCTCGGAGGCCTATAAATAACAATGATAAAATTATGATGATCATGCTCCTTTATCAATATCATTGACTCATGACACTCACCTGATTTATCTGTTCGAGAGAAGGAGCGGAAGGTTGTTTGGTGAGATGAGAATTGTCAGCAGGATTGCCGCCAATATCACAGTGTCTGTTATCGTTATTGTTGATAATGCACGTTCCAGTCGTTGAGCTCGGTCTGATTTCTGCTATGCCTGATCGGTTAAGATCATAATTTAATGAGTAACATAAGTTAATTAGTTTAATAAGTAATTGACCAGTTAATCACTTAATAAGCCAATCAGTTTATCGGACCTAATCAGTTAATTATACAGTTGTCCGAGAAATGGTAGCGGCTCAAATGACTCGGAAGGCAGGAGCTGTAATAGATAGATCTTTAATTATGCTACTAACAAGAGAGTTTCCACTCAAGAAAATGAAAGAAAATAATGATTATTCAAGCTAATAACTTAATAATGATAATAACTGCACTGATTTATAAGCAAAATATAAACAGTGAATATTCTAACCAGATTCGCGGTTATTGTCCTCTATCTGCGAGTAGTTAGGAGGATCATCGTCCTGCAACAACATGTTCTGGGTCAGACACAGGTTAAATAACATAAAATAAACGTGTAATTTACATAAAATTAACAAAAATTTACATAATATTAACGTAATTTACACAAAATTGAATCAGGAGGATAACGTCAAAATAATGGACTAAGATAATATTGATCAGATTAACATAGAAAACATAACAAATCACATCAAATTTACATTTTAACTGAATACAACGACGACAGAGAGATGGTGGGACAAAATCACATCAAAATTGAACAATCTTCCACTTAGAATAAAAGATATCTGAACTTAAAACGACACAAATTAACAAAAGTTAAATAATCGACCAAGCTTGCTCAGAAACAAAGCTGACAGAAATATAAAAGTTTCATAGCCGCAATACTTAACAATGCACATGCAGAATATTTGACAAGAATGCTAGTTCAACATGCCAGATAATCACACCAACGGTCAGCAGTAGCCAGTACTCCGCATAACTCCGCATAACACCGCATGATTATGCGGTGCCGTGCAACTTTTAAGTTTTACAACAATCATTATTTTACTTAATCCGGCAAACATATTTAGAGTTTAAGGAATCTCGTGACTTTAGAGTTACGAAAATATTAAATGTGAGCACACGCACCAGGGAGGATCACAACGAAAACTGGACAAAAGATCACGATAAATTCATGTTCTTAAAACATTTATATCGACTAAGTGCGGGTAAAAGCTTTAGAGCTGATATAAAATTTTCACAATACTTAAACTTAACAGAGAACTAATACTTAGCATAGAGCTACTAAAGACAGCTAATGCTGACATGCAACCCACAAGTTCACTTAATCTACTATCACTACACTAAATAAAGACACGGACACTTCTCCTGCTGCGGGGTATTCTGTGGGAATATTATGTTTGTGGGGGTAGATAAAGTGAGTAAAGTGACAGTGAACTGGCTCAGTAAACAGTGAACTCACTGGCAAGTCTGGGTTATTAGTTGGGTTATGTGGCTGATAAGGGAGCATCACACTTGTGATAAGACGGGGGAGGTTGTGCGGTAAAGGGTTAGATATGTGATCTGCTGCACATCACGTAATGTTTATAGAAGTATAGAGATGTTAGATAGTATCTGGTATAATATTCCTGGTTGCTGGCAAGTCTAGATAGATTATTACATAGATTATTACATTGAGATTATTACATGATACTATCACGTCATTACAATTATTAGAAGGTTTAATAATGAACTTAATTTCCAAATCTCTCTGTTTTAAAAACAGAAAACATCCAAACTGTAAGTTACTGACTGACTGATTATGACGTCACTAAAAATTAGTAAACTAATCCATGACACTAATAAAGCCTCCCTTTCCAGGACGAATACGAGAGATAAACTCAATGGAAGAGTTCAAGGAGCGTCTAGACCAAGCGAAGGAGGCGTTAGTTTGTGTAACCTTTAGTGCGAAGTGGTGCGGCCCGTGGAGAATGATAAAACCTGATGTTCACAGGTAAGTTCAGTATTTTTTTAAAAATCAATAAACTTTCAAATTGTTACACAAATACATCATTTTATTTCAAAGAAAATTTCGCCGAATGACCTTACATGCCTTGACAAGTGACCGAGTGTAAACAAAATTAGGGACACCGAAACACCAGTTAACCAGTAAACTGGTCAAAGCAATTACATCGGGCCCTATATGCACCTATAAGTGAAGCGATGCTGCAACCAAGGCAGGCTATGTTCCACGGAAAAATACTTCTCGTTATCATGTTCTTGTGTGTGGTGTTCGTGCATTTGAATCTGGGTTAATTTTTGTTTTTATGATTTCCCTGTCTTAACATCCCCTTGTGTCTAACTCTAAGACTTCCCATAAGAGTCATATCTCCGGAGTCAAAGAGTTCCCGTTAATAATAACAACATATCTCCAGACTGTCTCATATCCACGGAGATGTCGAGTTCTACGAGATAGATGTGGACGATAACGAAGAGATAGCAGAAGCTAGACGAGTGGCATGCATGCCTACCTTCCAGTTCTTCAAAAGAGGTACGTGCCCAGATGTCTGGTATTTCGCCCAAGTCAGCCATCCCTCCCACAATTATAAACCCCTGATGAGCCCAAATCTTGTTTACGAGTATAGTGGAATGCACCCGTACAGTAGTTGGTTACATTAGAGCAGTTGAAAAATGTGGCTAAATTTTTGACAGGCAGGAATTAGGAGTCACATAAGATTCCGCTCTAACTTTTCAATTCGTCGATCAATAGATGTGGATACTGGCGGGGAGGTGATAATTGTTGTTTACAAGCGTCTCTTCAGCCTCCTGAACATGTGCTCACTATTAATGTAAACAAGCAATTATCACCTCCCCGCCAGTATCCAGATCAATTGATCTTTGGCAAGTTTAATGTTAATGTCCACATAGACCAATACAATGCAAGGAACTGTGATTAAATGTCATCGTTAAACATCTTTTTAAATTTTAGTTATTTAAGTGCTCATGCTCCAACAATTTTGACGAATGAAACTAATTAATCATTGTCAGGGATAATGCTAGACAAATTCGCGGAGCCAAACAGAATAAAGCTGGACGAAACAATCAGAAAACTTCGAAAAATGGAGATTAGACCGGAGGAATAGCGTGTCCTTAGATAAGGAGGTTAAGGAGAAAAAAGGAGCAATTTAAGGAGCAAGCCAAGAAGATGAGATGAGGACATTGGACGAAACTGAAGAGATACGAAGTGTAACAAGGGTTCAGAAATTGAAAATGGATAATATAGGGTTGCGAGGGAGTAACGTGGAGAAGGAGTGTTTAGTGGTGAGGAATAAGATTAAGGGTCGTCACAAGAAGTTATTAATAGGTGTCACGTGATGATGAAATCATGTCACGTGATGGATACATCATGTCACGTCATGATGGAGAAATCATGTCACGTGATGGAGAAATCAAGTCATGTGACGTTTAATAGATACAAATTTATGAGCTGCGGCCAGACAATCTATTTTATAAATAATTTGTTTTTTTGATAACTAAATCAATATTATTTGTAGTTATCTGTTTTTGATAACTATGACAGCAGCGATGGCTGTTGAGATTTGGAACAGATTTTTAGAGAAAAATGTAAATCAATATTATTTGTAGTTATTTGTTTTTGACGATAAGATATTGGTGTATAATTGATTGTACAGATAATGAGTCAACGTGACGAAAAGTGCCATTAGGAAATACGAAACTGATGAATGAAACATTGTCATTAAATCATTAAGATAGGAATATTAATTAAGATAGGAATATTAATTGACTTTACTTTAAATCACATATCAAGGCTGCGAATTTGAAGTATATTGTTCAAACCATTAAGAGACAAACTTATGCGATGAATGATGATTGATGATGAGTTATCACTGTTGCTGTTGAAGTTGGCATGAATTTTCGTCAGTGATCGAAGCCGCGCCGGCGTTCGATATAATTCCTAGATCGAACCGGTTCGATCTAATTTCTGCGTTCGATCTAATTACATCTTGGACCTTGGTGTACCTTTGAATTTGAAAATCTTAAAATGAATGCTGACAAACCACTAAAAGTAAATCAAGTACCTCCAGCGCCACCTTAACCAGAGCGATTCCAACACACAATAATTTCACGTAGTATCTAGCTTTGCTCCAATCAACTCGCTACGATTACACAATCAACCAATCACAAGACAGGGAGGGTATAACAAAGCAATGTTAATGTTATTGGCAAAGAATTCGGAAGAATTCGGAGCATAAAATAATCGAGTTTACAGTTTTAATGTCGACGAAGACGAACAGCTTGTCATATTGATTATTGATGTCGCAAATAAAACGGGTTCTCCATTAATATTTCTAGTGGAATATTAAATAGACGACGAAATGTAGCTCCAAATAAGATTCATCAAAGGGAGGTTCCAGGTTCCTGTGCAAGTGGACAAATTGTGACACGTGACGGAGCAACTCCTCAAATATATAAACTCCAAGGCAGAAAGCTCACAAGCTCATTATTTAGTTTCTACTCTCAATGAGCTCGACGATATCTTTAATTCCGGAAATCTCCTCGTTCTGGTCCGGTGTTGATTCTGATGCGGAATGGAGCACCCTCATATCATGGTGTATGGTTCTCCTACTGGGAGGCATAGTTGGCAACACATTCCTTCTCCTCTTAAACGACTGGGAACATTCCATTGTAGTGATCACAGTGCTCTTGATTAAGAACATTGCGGTGACAAACATTGCGACGGCGGTTGGTGGAATACACCAATCGGTAGTGTCGTTGGTATGGAAGTGGAACGAGAACAAGGAGATCACATTCGATCCATTCTACATTTTTTATTTATTCCAACTTAGATTATATTTCTCTATAGTTTTACTGATCTGTGCTTGGCATCTCAACAAGCTATCCCGTCCACTGAACATCCCGGAACAGTAAATCTGATTGGTGGCACAATGTAGCCCCATCTACTCACCTGATCGGCTGATCAGGGGTGAAATGTGGCTCTTCCTGGCCTTCATATAGCTGCTCTATGACGTCAAGTTGCTCCTCTCTGCTCATCTCAACTGTCATCGTCAGATCACTGTCAGACTGAATGGACGTTATGTTTCCTTCGACTACCGGAACTGCAGGTGTGAGAAGTACAAGTCCAGTTATGTGAGCTCCCACGTGTCTGCCCACGTGTTTGCCCACGTGTTTGCCCACGTGTTTGCCCACGTGTCTGCAGATGGTTTTATTACTCCCCGACATTATTATTGTCACTGGAATTTTCATTGCTCTGTTGGTCATCAAGTGAAAATCGTGAATCGACATTTGCGTGAGGTTGTTCGAGAATATATTATGATAGATACCGAGAATCGATTCTGATGAATTTATCGTTTACAAAAATACAATGGGCTTTTAGTGAGATATAAGTCTTGTTTGAAATGATATTCTGTTATAAATGGTCTATTTTATGTCTTTTTAAAAATGCGAGCGAAACTTTTGCAAGGTTTAACTATAAAATATACCGAGTTGCATATGAACTAATGAAAAGCAAACTACTAAGTAACATATTATAGTCTCCATATTTATTTCCCATACTTTTTATTACCACCGGTCAATAGGTGTCAATAGGTGTCAATAGGTGTCAACAGCAACAGAAAGCACGATACTTTTAACAAACTAATGAACCAATCAAAAGTAAATTACGAACACAATAAGTTTACATAAAAGTTAAAACACATTCACGAATAATCACATTTCTACCACAATTAATTTACTAAGAACGAATAAAACAACGAACATATCACCAACTATGAACAATCAAAACAAATCATACTACAAACACACGGACAATAACAAATAGACTGACAAACACACGGACGAGAACACACAGACGAACGCACGGACAACCACACGGACAACCACACGGACGAGAACATACAGAAAAACACACGGACAAACGTTGATACAACACGTGATACAACACTCGATACAACACGTGATACAACACGTGATACAACACGACCAGTACCGTTTCAGGGACGAGGCGGACGGTGAATCTTGTCCGGGAGTTGGGACTTATCTCCTGAGAAGCAGGCTTCAAATCAGAACATGCAATAAAATAAGGTGGTATTCTATCACACTCGATCACACATCACACTATTTTAGATTTGTCATCATACATTTTGCTTCTATCTCCCCCTCCCTCCCTTTCGCTAACATACATTTTCACCCCCAGTTATTGACCCATTCACTGGATAGCATACTCGGGCGAAATGTAAAGAAGAAAATCTCACAGTATCTAGAAAAAAGAAGAGTAGCCACATATCTACAGTAGTTTTCAGCTGTGAAAAAGTAAATAGCAGTCTGTAAAGTAAAGCTGAAAGACTAGCCACAGATAAGTTAGCTGATTAAGCTAATTTGATAATTAGCGCTAATTGATACACAGTACTTACATTTATATACTCCCAATGTATGACGTCCTTGCTAACCGCTTTGATACCTGGGAAGATAAGTTATTAAACAAATTGATCCATATCTTTTTATCCTTTTAAGCTTAAAGCAACGTAAAACAGTAATATAACAACAATTTTGTAGTTATATTACTTTCCGAACAGAGTTTACTAAAAGATTACTGATCTGCAAGTTAGAAACCAACGTACTGCTTCTAGTGATGGGGGTATGACTGGATTCTATATCGCTGCAGGAATAGTGACTGCCTTGTAACTGCCTGGTAAATAACATATCCTTGTTAGAGAAATGGTAGTACAGAAAGTGGTATTGAAACGGTTGTCCCGCTTTAAAAAAGTGTACACTGTAACACGTGATATTTTATCTATTTTATAATCATATATTTATAATTATTTATTCTTTATACCGGGAAATAGCATAATTTATTAAATTTATGCAGATAAATTTAAATTCATATCCCCGTAAAACCCTCAGAAGTATATAGGATATAAACCGAATCCTCGTTAATAAGGGTGGTCCCATTTATGTTCAGCTGCTATAAAGCTATAACAGCCCGGGAGTTCCTGGGCTTATATCGCTCATCTGGCTTTATCTTATTCCGATAAGACTACATTGTTTTATTCGAGAGATAATCCCGAACATTCGTCAGTGGTATAAACGAGGATTCGGTTTATACTTTTATATCCTATATACTTCTGAGGGTTTTTCGGGGATATACATTTAAGGTTCACACTCCGTAGATATGAACTTTACAGTTTACAGATGAGACAAAATTACGGAGGGGCCAGACTAGTACTAAAAGTAAGAGTTCGGTGTACTTGTTCACATTATTTCAGATGTTACTTGATACCCTGGTCAAATGGTATACATTGTGTTCAGAGCTAGGATGAGTCAACTAAAGATGTGGATTCTGGCGAGGAAGTGAAGCATATATTGTTTGACACGTAACAGATTATGGGGTTTGGTAAATCAATCATGGAATCTGACCACGTGTCGAAAAATATTATCCACCTCCCACCAGAATCCACATCAATAGATAAACCAAACAGCAGGTTGAAATACAACCTGCCTCTATAATACTATAATAAAGTAAGTTGCTGTATACCTAGCAAAATTATTAATTAATTAATTAATTTTCTAAACTCACAGTGCACTACGTTGGATCCCACTGCAGCTGCTCCACTCTATACTGCTCATATCCTCTAGACTGTTCTCGAAGTAGTTGATTATATTCCGGTATTTGGGTGCGGATATCTCAGCTGGTCCGGACACCGTGAAGGCTCTGCCTCTGGTGGAGTAGTCGTAGTCGTTCTAGAGGGTTCAGGGGTTAAGTTAGAGATCGGGGTGGGGCGCAGGGGGGGGGGGGGGGGCGCAGGGGGGGGGGGGGGGGGCTTCCCCTCGGGTGTAGTAGTCGTAGTTGTTCTGGAAGGTTCGAGATTCAGGGGTTAGGTTAGAGGTCAGGGTTAGAATAACGTCAGATTGTAGTTACTGGTATTACTTATCAAGTCAGGTATATATAGTATGTTTAAAGTTTGTCAGGAGCCAGGGTTAAGCACGGATCTTTGGTGTACGCCGAGGGTTACCAAAATATAATCAGACTATAGGTTAGCACGTTGGCCTTTATTGATTTAACATAAATGAACATAAAAATAACATAAATTAACATAAAAATAACATAAAATAACATAAATTAACATAAATTAACATAAATTAACATAAGTTAACATAAATTAGCATAAAAAGATGGAATAACTCACCACTCTGAATATTTGAGCGAGTTCGTCCCTGTTCACCAGGGTATTTGGCCAGGTTAGGTTAGTGTCCCAGCTAGTTCCATCACACAGGCTCTCCTCGTAACTTGGCGGGTCCTCTGTAGAGGAGGAGGTTTTAGGGTTTTCATTGAGGTTTAGTGAGGTTTTGGGTGAGGTCTGGAGAGGTACAATGAGGTTTAGTGAGGTTTTGGGGTTTTCAGTGAGATCTGGTGAGATTTTTAGGTAGGCTTGGAGAGGTGTTGTGAGGTTTTGTGAGGCTTTGGGTGATGTTTGAATTTGTGCAGTAGAGACGAGAAGTGACCCAGTTATGGTGATTTCAGTGAGGCCACTTGAGGTTTTGGGTGAGGTTTGGAGAGGTGCAGAAGACACGTCAAGGGACTCTGATGAGGTAATAAGAGGTGAAATTAATTTTATTTTATACATCGAAAAATTACGATTCATTAATTGGAAGTTTTGAAGTATTCAAAGAACAATAAAGCGTTCTAAATACTCAGAAAATCAGAGTGAGATATATATTCAGGCCCTTCACACTTTGTGTCTGTCTGGTTCTAATATACCATTACAATAATGACTTTAATATGCAGTATGCACAGATTTTACTCTGCACAAAAGGAGAATCACCACTATCACGGGAGGAATAATGGTGAAAATCAGAGTGAGATATTATAAAAATTAAAAACCGACCCAGTGAGAGTGGGTCCGAGTTTGGGTTGTCAGGTTCTGGTTCCTGGACACATTCTTCAGATTTAGCAGTGGACATGTCTCTAACCATCACCTGAGTAGGAAGTGATTATGAAATATCATTAATTAATCAATTAATTATTTATTAATTATTGAGAAGAAGTTTTGGCGGTGATTATGAAATATCATTAATTAAGCAATTAATTATTTATTAATTATTGAGAAGAAGTTTCGGCAGTATTAATGATTGTTGGAGTGTAATGTTGCTGTGATTAGAAGTTTAGGTAATTATCAATTACCGCCTAAAATTACTAATTAATTGTGGGTTTGGCCTTGATCAATGAAATTGAGGCCGAGGGGCCGTTGATCTAAAAATTTAGATAAACATGAAAAAAAGGAATATCGCTCGAACAAAAATGACTAATAAACAAGACAAATAATCTAGAACATAAAACAAAAGCAAAACATAAATATTCAACATAACAATAACTAGGATATCAAGGATAGCAAGGACACCACAGCACAATATTCACACCAATACTCATCTAATAAAACATGAAAATAAGAAATATCACTCTAACAACCAATCATCAAAAAAGACAAACAACCTAACTTATCACAAAAGCAAAACAAAGATACCCAAGACAACACCACACCATAATATTCAACTAATAAAGATCTAAAAAAACAAGACTGGCAGACTACTCCACCACACGTACATCCCAGTCACGTGATCACATGCATTCTAGTCACGTGACACATATATCGTAGCCACTAGCCTGATCTCCTGGTTTCATGTCAACACAACATCATCACAGCAGACTTAGAGGAGGAGAGGGAGGAGAGTGAGAGAAGATTGGCGTGTTAAAGCTAGACAGTATCCGGCGGTAGGTGAGTGTGTAGGTATGTGTATGAGTTAGATCAGCTTCTTTTTACTTTTTTAGAATGATGGAGGCTTCTTTTTAAGCAAGTGGAGGCTTCTTATTTATTATTTGCACGTGTTATGAATTGAAGATTCGTATCAACACGTGCAATCATGGCAAATAAGCCTTCTCGTAGGTAATTTGCGTTCATAAAAGCGGAAAAGAGCGGTTTAATAGGTCTACAACTTCAAACCGTTTGTACGTGTGTTGGACGATTGAAAACTAAGAAATTCGCCAGTAACGAATCACTATAACAGACCGTAAATCTCTCTCGCCCGCTGATTCAACAGTTATCGAGAAACCTGTCATTAATGAGGGTTTTAAAAAGTAACGTAAGTTAATGGCCCTTGAAGAACTGCAGTTTACCCAAGGTGATCCCACCTGCCATCACAAGTGTCAGGAACAAAAAGTTTAAAGTTGAAAAGTCTCATAAGGAGAAAACTCTTGATGACGCATATATCACGGATCAAGTAATGGCATGGGCAGCATTACTGCATACTTCACATCATATGTATCACTATACACAGCAGACACAGCACAGTACATTTGACAAGAGAGACAACTTTGGCAGAGTATTTCCTCCAAGAGAGAGAGAGAGAGACACTCGGTCAATACTACTAGGTAGATACAACTCTACAACAGTTACTGTACTGGCTACTGTACTGGTTACTGTACAGTTACTGGTGCCATGGCTGGCACACGTCATGCTTCCGTGAGGAGAGAGTGGTGATGGCTGTTGACTTTGTAATTGAAGATGGAGCTTAGCTAATTGATCAGCTCGTGCCTTACACGTGTTGTGGCAGATATATTGTTTCAATTTTTTGCAGTCCGAAAGGACTCTCGCAATGCGAGTTGAAAGATTCCAACGGGCACCATTAGTTTTGGCAGGTTACATATTTAAATAGGGAGAAAAGAACGAAGTCCGAGGTTACATGTTTCATTGTAACCTTGATATATGATCCGTTGTCCGACACATGGAATATAAGAAAAAGAAAGTTTCAATCAACAACTCGCACCGCCCTTGAAGGAAATTAAAGAATATTAAACGAAAATAAAGTGCTAATCGTGTTTGTCGTATTATGCATCGACAACAGACTTTAAAGAAAAATCAGAAATTGCCGATGCCAGATAAGTGGCACTGCTGCTAAGATTTGTAGCAAACATTTTTAACTTATAATTTAAAGATAATAAAGTTTACAAGCCAACTATTAAGGTATTACTATTATAGAACATTGTACACCTTTCCTGGGGAAAGAATAGAATTAGAATATTGCCTCAGTCAGGGTTCTATATAATGAAGAAATTATTACATGAACAAGGTTTTAAACATGAACTTGAAGTTTATACCCTCGAATGACTGAGCTGAGTCAAGAAAAAAAAATGTTTAGATTATGCAAAGAAAACAAAATCTAAACATTTTTTTTTCTTGATTTATTAATTTTACCGGGGTAAGCACAGCTCAGGGCTCCAATGCTCTATCTTATAGTGGTCACGATCTTACCATTAGTGACCACAGCCCCCTACGAAGAAGAAGAAGAAGACTGAGCTGAGTCTAGCAGTAAAACCGCACTGTAAATCGAAGGTTAAACATCAATTTGCTGAGTTCCACTACCGTAGTGCTTAATAAAGTTATAACATGATTTTCAATAATTGAAAGGAGGATCAGGACTGGTTAATAATGGTTATACGTTTTTCATTTTTCAAGGATTCTGATCAGCTAAAAAATAGATTTTACTTATACTGAATCTATATATCAAGCCAATCCATAGTTATTTAATGCACTATAATCATGTGGGGAGATTTATCAGGGAGAAATTTGATGCAAATTTAGTAGCATAACATTCTGGTCGCCCTTCCCCATCTCAGAGGCCAGCTTTAAATGACAGCACTTAAGTTCCACATCTCTTCAAAAATAGCAGAGCTGATATAGAATACGAGCAGGTTATAAATTAAGGTATCAATAGCTTTAATTGAATTAAAAAATATATTGAGATTGGAATTTGATTTGACGTTAAGCTGAGTTGAACGACAAAGTCAAACTGGATGCTTTTCCGTTCAAGTTTTTCGCTATCACCAATAAGCACCGTCTAAATCATACTGCCTATAATTTGCCAAACAATTTACAAAAACCATGAAACTAATAAACGCCAGAAAAGTATTGACGAATATGCATACAACACTACAAAAAAGAAAGGTGACAGATAAATAAATAAGTAGCCCGAATTGTCAAGATAATTCGAGAAAGGCCGAAGCGGGAACCCATTTAAATGTAGGCGTGACATATAACAGACAACAGTATAGTGATTTATAACAGGCTTGAAAATTATTTGCTCCTTCATCAAGATTTCTTTATAGCAGTGCAGCAAATAATTAATTATGTGTTATAATTTCATGCAATCGTAATTAGCAAGCCATACACTTGCAGACTATGCAGCCAAGCTATACATGTCAGCCATAAAAGATATCGGTCGACGGTCAGTTTAACGCAAACTGTAATGAAATAATAAGACCATAAAGAAATTGTATAAACCTATTATATATACACCTGCTTTTGGCAATTCTTTTGTTGTTATCATATCGTGTTATCACATTATTTTTACCTGATAAGAATGATTCATGACGTAAACCATATTCGTGTATAATACTAATAGTATTAGTATAAGATAAAGATACCTCGATACCAAGTTAGAATAATTAAAACACTTTACGGCGCCGAAAGTGTGGCTGATGACAAGCCGATTTCGTGATCTCTTCCCTTAGGGCTGAAAGTTTTCATTCTTTTATTACAAATCAGGTTCTACCCCAGTAATGACCTCATTTATACAGAGCCACAACTTTAATTTTTCGTCTCCAAAATCAAAGAAGAAAAAAATTTAATATTTAAAAAAATAAGTTTAATTAGTCCACTCACATCCCACATTCCACAAGTCCTTGATGGTCCAGATAAAAGTAACATTGTAAAAGTACCATCACAAGGTACCTAACACCATTGGCCCTTACCAAGAGCCACCAAGAGCCACCAAGAGCCTTAACCCACACTTTAAAAAAACACGAAACAGAACAGTCTGACTATCTAGCAGGGTACAACGGGCTAGTCACGGTAAACCAAAACCAAAACCCAATCACAGTACTACAGAAAGAAAACAAAACCACGAATAAAAATATCTCCCGCCGTGAAATCCTCCGCTTAACATCCTTACACAAGATCACGTGACCATGAAAGAGATCACGTGACCCTAAAAAAGATCACGTGACCATAAAAAAGATCACGTGACCCTGCCAACCGATTAACGACTTATGCTTAAACGGTTACCATATTCTCATATTGTTGACAGTAAAACCGCCGGTTTAACTGTAATAACCATGTCACGTGTTGGTGCGGAACTCTAAACTTTGTTAATCTTAACACAACTTCTGGAGAGATGGAGGTCAAGTTTTGGACGATATCATGTGTTTTGCAGCTCGGTGTGCAGTATAGTGCAGTATAGGTAGTGTAGTGCAGAATAGTGTAGAATAGTGCAGTATAGTGCAGTATAGTGCAGTATAGTGCAGTATTATAATGCAGTATAGTGCAGTATAGTGCTTTATAGTGCAGTATAGTGCACTATAGTGCAGTATAATGCAGTATAGTGCAGTATAGTGCAGTATAATGCAGTATAATGCAGTATAATGCAGTATAATGCAGTATAGTGCAGTATAGTGCAGTATAGTGCAGTATAATGCAGTTAAGTGCAGTATAGTGCAGTATAATGCAGTATAATGCAATATAATGCAGTATAGTGCAGAATATTGTGGTTCTTCTGAAAACGTGTGCAGATCCAAATTCCGAATGAGAAGTTCCGGTGCACTTATCTAATATTGGGCATGTTCTGGAAACACTGAATAACCAACTCATAACCAACACCATGACTAATGTACAATGGGATAAATAAAAAAGTGCGAGACTGATTATTGTAGATATCATGGAAGATATATATACTTCGTAACAGTAAATAAAATGTATTGTTAATTAAATCTATTGTCAATTAAAACTATTGTTAATCAAATGTATTGTTAATCTCATGTGGTAGATGGCTGAGTTTACTGATCCCTAACAATAATGGGATCATTCCAATTTCCAACTTAATTCAGTGTAATAAGTATACTATAAGGACGTGAATTAAGTCAAAATATATCATCTTGGCACTCGATACTGGCTTCTCTTCAAAACGAGTTAAAGAGGAGAAGCTTAGAGCGAACAGCTATATATCAAGGAGAATAATGGACTATCACACTAGCTATAGCTGAGCAACCTCACGTTTGAGACAAATAAATACAGGAACAAGACAATGAAACCCGAGATTGTACAGAGAAGATATACAGATCTAGTCTAGAGAGAAAGAGAGAGAGAGAGAGAGAGAGAGAGAGAGAGAGAGAGAGAGAGAGAGAGAGAGAGAGAGAGAGAGAGAGAGAGAGAGAGAGAGAGAGAGAGAGAGAGAGAGAGAGAGAGAGAGAGAGAGAGAGAGAGAGAGAGAGAGAGAGAGAGAGAGAGAGAGAGAGAGAGAGAGAGAGAGAGAGAGAGAGAGAGAGAGAGAGAGAGAGAGAGAGAGAGAGAGAGAGAGAGAGAGAGAGAGAGAGAGAGAGAGAGAGAGAGAGAGAGAGAGAGAGAGAGAGAGAGAGAGAGAGAGAGAGAGAGAGAGAGAGAGAGAGAGAGAGAGAGAGAGAGAGAGAGAGAGAGAGAGAGAGAGAGAGAGAGAGAGAGAGAGAGAGAGAGAGAGAGAGAGAGAGAGAGAGAGAGAGAGAGAGAGAGAGAGAGAGAGAGAGAGAGAGAGAGAGAGAGAGAGAGAGAGAGAGAGAGAGAGAGAGAGAGAGAGAGAGAGAGAGAGAGAGAGAGAGAGAGAGAGAGAGAGAGAGAGAGAGAGAGAGAGAGAGAGAGAGAGAGAGAGAGAGAGAGAGAGAGAGAGAGAGAGAGAGAGAGAGAGAGAGAGGGAGAGGGCAGTATAAAGTTTAATAATTGGTTACTGTAAAGCAACCACTAAACCATAACGAGGGACAGTAACTGGAATGTTAATTAGCGATATGTTAAATTGGCTGGAAGCAGATCAGGCTTGTCCAGGTTTAGGGATTTTAAGCATTTTATATTGCACTGTATTGCAATGTATTACAATGTATTGCAATGTATTGCACTGTGTAGCACTACATTGCAGTGTACATTGTACCTGGAATTTGTACATGAAGATGAAACCACTCTAGTAAAAATGATCCAGTAGGAAAATATAAGCAATTAGTTCCCTGTGAAGGATTTTGATGAAACCAGCGCATATTTCAAAAGAAATTGTGAAATACAGTCAGAGAAAGTGCTCTTCAATCACCAGGTAGGAATTCGTTACACTTAGGTACCTACAAACAGGTAGGATATCAATTGTACAGCTCTTCGGCAGGGACAAAAGGAAATCGCGGCATGTACGGAATCGCGATTTTTCCCATTATTTGCGACAAATTTGATTTGTCCCTGCTTTTCGGGGAGAATCACTTTTAAGCTTTTAGGAGTAAAAAACCGTCCATGACTCAACTTTCTAACTCATCGTAAGAAATATCGATTGATACTTTAATACTGATGACCGATCATACCTGAGCTTGGATCTCTAAACTGACGGACATTGTTCGGATTCCTTTCTTTTGATCCCTTGAGGTCTGCATTGTGAACCCCTGGTTAGATAAAGAGAATGGATAACGATAGGAACGGAATCGTGGAATCGTAGAATTTAGACCATAGAATCAGGATTATAAAACAGTGTTTCATCAGAATAAAGAGTACTTACTACTTATTAAGAGGGGAGGTGCATGGTTCATCGGTAAAATAACTGACGAATGTTCAAGTAGAAAGTTACCTTTGTTTTCCAGGCGCTGACCCATGACTTTCCATTCATCACCTCCCTCAGCGACTCCATTGGAAGTTTTGGAACAACGAAATCAACTCAGAACAAAAGCGTGCGCACTTCTTAAAGATCACGTAATAGATGAGATAAAACAAGCCAAGGAGCGAGACCCATCAAGTTAAACCAAGAGAATAGTAGCCACAAATCATAATCTTGCACGAGCACAAGCCAACTCGCTCTCTGATTAGTCAGATCCATGTCACGTGACTGCAATACTTCCGTTTCATTGGTGGAGATGAAACACGTGACAGAGTAGAATGAAGGGCTGTTAATTACGTCAGTTAATTGAAATCCGGAGCAGATAGGAGCACGGGGAGGGAGTTGATTAGAGATGCAGCGTTCTGATTGGCTGGGAGGGTTTGACGGGGCTCTCTGATTGGTTAATGGCGATTGGAGAAGGGTGGTGATTGGAGGATGATTTAAGTAGCTTCCTGGAAGCAGCAGTAAGCAAGTAGACACTATGTGAGTGGAGCACCATGTACAGTGTGCAGCCTGTCGTGACTCATTGTGTAAATTGGGAAGAGGAGGAGGGGAGGAGGGTAGCTACGTCGCTGGTCTAATTCTATCAATATAGGGCAATATATTGTGATCTATTTAGTTTTGGAACTTGTCAATTTTAAAACTTCAATGGACAAAATACAAATAATTATCTATTGATCTAGGTGATTTCATAATAGTCACGTTAAGTGTAACGTTACATTACAAAATTCTGAACAGTGATCATAAATTGAAAAAATATGTCCAAAAAAACTCAAAATTCAGCCAAAACCACACATGTCTGCTAAGTAATAGACTCTCAAGCATTTAGCCAGATTTATTCTGAGAAACTGTTGAAATGCTATTTGAACAATAACTCATATAATATCTCCGTTGTAAATTTTAATAACCAGACACTTTAAAAATGTTGTCACCAACTACAGGGCCACGCGAGCTTGGTATCCATAAAATCATCGACAGAGGGGAAACCAATCAACTGGTAATGAACGAGGACAAACTGATCAGGACGAATAAACAAGACATGTGCTTACCAAGACCGGTACTTACTAATACTATTTACCATGTATGAAGATTGAAGATATGTGAAAAAAGAGTGAATATAAACCGAATCCTAGTTTATTCTACTGACGAATGTTCAAGATTATCTCTCGAATAAAACAATGTAATCTTATCGGAATAAGATAAGGCCAGGTGAGCGATCTAAGAGTGGTCCCAATCAGCTGCTATGACAGCCCGGGAGCCCCTCAGGGTCGGACGTCTGCCGGGACTACTTGACGCGTGCAGCACTCACGTGGGGTGTCAAGTATGAGAGTATGAAGATAGGGAGGTCCTTGTTAAATCAACAATTTGATAGATTGCCTCACTGGTTGAACTTAACATGATTTATTATTTCGAGACACCAGTTGGTTTCATTAAGTAGCACACTCAACCAAACAAAAGATAACGAAGACAATTATCGAATGATTTTATTTTGTACGCCACAATGCCACATTTTAAGCACTTAAAATAATTAACTTATCAATATCGGGTTCGAGAATGATCCAGAATTATCATCTAAAAAGATTCTGATCACTGAATCTCAGGATTTGAATATCGAGCAATCGCAAAGAACTTTAAACTTATTGTTACCGTGGATTGGGTTAGCTATGTGTTATAATACCTTCCGGGAATTATATCCACTAAAAGTCTCGGACACTGAGAGCTGATAATTTGCCGATATATCCCGCAAGGGAAGCCAAGGTATTATCAGCATAGACCTCAGACTGGCTGGCGGCAAGTTGTAAAACAAATAACACTGGCGTTCTATATATTAGACACTATATTGTATCATGCGCACGTATCGGATTACACCCCTTCCAATTCGGAACCGGAAAATATTATAATACATAATACCTCCGGTTCTTCGGGCCGCAAATTCCCTCCAGCAAGCTGTCGGGAATTATCAAGCGGAGCCCGAAGAGTCGAAGGCATTATTATATTATAATATTATGTACTATTATACTTTTTGGCTTCTCACTTGGTGGCTTTTTTTTCTGGAAGGTCACGGCTTTTCAAGGGGTTTCCCTCAAAGTTACATCCAAACTCAACCCAACCGGAACCCTGATCAAGCCATAGATTAACCCAACCTTGACCCTAAAAGCTCTACATTTCTAACAGCACGGGAACACCGGGAAATTACATCAATTAGATTGTTTCAATGCTTCCCACATCTAACTATTTACCTTCATTATTAGAAACTGTCGTCAATGCCTCTATTCAGAAAAAATCAGAAATGTTATTGAAAGAAACATCAAATGAGACTCATTAATACTACACGACTTTATTAATCAGCTTCCCACATCATTTTTAACAAGAGGTGCTAAAGAGATGTAATAAAACAACGAGAAACTGTATGAAGTAACAAAAAGAAAAATCGAGAAAAAGAAGAGAAACTGTATCTATATAACAAACAAAAAAGAAGAATCGAGAAGAAGCATCCAACTACATTCTACAAAGACGCTTGTGCTTGTTATATGCAATTATGTGATTACATAATCACACAATTACACCTTCAACTGAAATAATCAGATGAGCATCAGAAAAGTAATTCACGGTGAATATCGGATGTGTTGCTTAAACGGTGATTCATACGGAAATTAATCAAGCAAAGAAGCACTGTACTCTTTGTAGCGATCCCAACGATGATGACTCAACAATACCCTGCTCTCCCTCCCGTGAAATTACGCCTGCGCCCGGTGAGTGTCCAACAATAAATTTTAATTATGTAGCAAAAAAGATCATTTGAATTAAACAGATAGACAAACTGGAAGCTTTCTCGTGAAATGAAAGAATGAAGGAACTCCGTGGACGTGACTGAAGAAATAACTGTTTTTAAACAATGATTGTATGCCATGAACTTCAATCGAAGTGTTAATGGTTTAACCAAAGGATAAGATCTCCACAATCAAGATATAACGTGATAGGGTGATCTAATTGGGTGGTCTAATTGGGTGATATAATTGGGTGATCTAATCAATCCAATTAGTGAAGCTTCCTGATCAAAGTCAATAATCAATTTCTAATCAAAAACTGTTAAATATAGCACAATTAATAAAGAGACACATTATTTCTAGGTGAGATAATTGGTTTATGAAATAGATATTGGAAAATAGAAACATGGACAAAAAAACAGTTTATCGAATATCCTACGTTTTTTTTAAGAAGTTTGTCACGTTCAACATTAAAATTATTTCTATAAGCAAGGTATCGAAACCGACTCAAAAATACCTGGAATAAAAACGTGACATTGATGTCGGAAATTTCAGCACTGCCTCAACTTATTGATTAAATAACAAGCAGAATTTTCTCATGTCATGTCACAGTGTTTTAAACTGTGAGAATTTTTGACCACATTCCAGGACAATAAAGATGTTGCACATGCTAGTATCTCTTAGTATCTGATATTAATCAGATATGATGCACATAAATTCGCGTTACATTTGTTCCTGGTCGAGGTTATATTAAAGATCAGGTGATGCAACGAGTAAAGCTTTCAACTTTGGAAAAAAATTGGGCACCTCATAGCGGAATTAAAATTTTGAAGTGTGGTACATAACAGAAAGTAACCGTGATTGGAATGATTTTAATAAAAATCCAGTAGATAGACTGTAGCACAGCCACGAAAAGTTTGGTACTAAAAGCTCAAAATTGCAGTGCAATACTAATAATATTTAAAACTCCAAATTCACAGACCAACTCTGCAGGGCTTTGTAAACGAATCTATAACCACCTTAACATAATGAACACAGTGATACAGATACTGAGATACTGGTTGACAAAACAGGATTTTAATATTTTAGATTCTTGTCCGAATCAAGACTGCAAAGTCAGATAATAAAATACTAGGTATAATAGTGCCTTGGTCCATGCATTCCACCGATTACTAAGTTAACAGATCACGATGATTTTATCTAGTAACTAACAAGCGCATCTAAAAAGAGGCAGACATCGTGAACTATTACTGATTTAACAAGTTACTAAGACTAATTAAATTATAATTAATTTCAGTAACTAAAACAGTTGAGACTGTCAGCGTATCACGATTCTCTGAGCTGAGCCAAGTTTTCCCAGCAACTTCAAGAGTTGTACGTTGTTTCTCAAGGCAGAAAAAGCTTGCCTCAAAAGTTGCTCAAAAGTTGCTCAGCGGATACGTATATTGTATAACTATAACATAAGATACGAATAGATAAATATCAGGTATATATTATATATAGATACGTATCGTATAAGTAATGGTACATCGAAACCTTAAAATTGGGACCAGTTTGACACTCCAAATGTCAAATTCCGGCCAGGAATATGTTTAGAATTGGATGCCCTAGGAATTACTGTGATTATTTTGTCGTCAGCTCTGAGCGCGTCTGGAATTTAGGTGGGCCGATTCTAATTTGGTTCTGGATTACCTGGACGCTGGTCGAGAATTTGGTGTTCTGATAATATAATATCTAATAATACAATATCTTGAGGATGCTATTCGGCCTCAGCAGAACAGAATCATAAATCAAGATTTAAAAGGCATTGATATTATGAATAAGATACTTAAAAAGGCAGTGGATGGAAATATTATAGCGTCCGCCTAACGAACTCCCAAGATCTTATACGGCAGCTTGATAGTCGCAGAAAAATAGCACAAAGAGAATTATTCAACAAATACGAAATTGTCAGAAGTAGTCATAAACAGTAGTATAAAGGGCCGTAACTTTTAAAACCGCGGGGGTACTAAAAGTAATCTGTACAAACTTTCAATAAGTGAAGTGAACTTGGTATAACTTTGCAGCAAAATGTTAAAACTCGCAAAAAACCAACTAAACAATTATTAGCAGTTTCACCTGTTAATAATATCAACATCCAACACACTTTAAACTACCGGGCAGTGCAGGAAAAAAAATCCACACTCCCAAAATTTGCAACAACTTTGAGCGTAAATACCGTGGTATGAAGTCCTAAAATGTAAAATCGAATTACGATTTACACGCACACATGCAGTGTACAACTATGTATACTTATGTAAGTCGGGGCCCATATTGTACCAATGTGTGTAACACCCTTATCGGAGTAGTTACGGTTTGAGTGGTACTCATTATTGTATTGCAGTGTGTACTGATTACTGATACCATTGTTGGTGTATATAATATGTGCCTGGTGCGTGTGGTGCATCAAAATACTATTTAAATAACTATTCTCTATAATAATTGCTTAACCTTACAAAAAGTGCATTGGGTCGTGTGAGTCCGGGAAAAAATTGGAGTTCATCTCTAATATTTGAGGGTGGTAATTATGAGTGTTTCCATGGAAACTACTGTATCGCACCAGTGGTATACGTTATACAAGTATAAATTATAATAGTACCTGATGCAGTCGATGCGATTTCTTACTTACTTAGTGCTTCTTACTTACCCATTATACTTACCCACTTGGCTGGCTTCTGTGAAAGAATACTGACTAAACTAATCTTACATTGGTAGGGATGGAGCTGTTTCAAATATTTGGAAAAGTTGTTATGAACTTCAAGAGTTACAATGTTGAAAATAAAGTAATCATGAAACCTTTGAAAAT